TGCCCGGCCCATTGTATATTTTTTAAACGTAGATCACATGTTAAGATGAAAGTGGCCCTTTAGGGAGACTAATCTGACAGGTCTGTGTAGTATAGATAGCAGAGTGTATCTGAAGTCAGGGAAACCTGTCAATCATCTGAAAGGAAGCATAGAGTACAGAACTTGGGCTTTTAATTCAGAAAGACTTTGGTTGAAATCCTTTTTCTGCTAGTCTTTTACTTTCAGTTCATGGATAAGATGTAGATAACAACTAGCCAGTGGGGTTGTAAATATTACTAAGGGTGTGAAAGAGCCTAATACAGGTTAGATGTCTGGCACCATGCTAGGACCCTCAGTAAGTTATTATCAATACAACATTTATGACTACTACTTCTACTACTATAATAATAATATTGTTATTATTTGATGGATTATAATGAAGATTCAGGCTGGGGAACCATCCTTGGAAATAGGATGTGTGGGAATCAGTCCCACCCCAACACCAGTAAGAGCAAGAATACAAATGAAACCTCACTCATTATATTTCTACATACTTAAATGTTGCGTGTCAGTAAAGAAATGGTTAAATCAAACATCCTGTGACCTCCTAACATGACCAGAAGCAGCTTTATAATGACATAAATAACCACTTAGAATTCTCAGATTTTTTTAGCAGTTCTGTTCTAGAGCATAGTGGCAAAGGGAGAGCTGAGTCTGTCACCTGTCTGTGTCCTGCAGTCTACCTCCATTTTTCATATCCTGGGCTCTTTGCCATAGCATGCCCACAAGATCCTCCTGCAAGCAACGTTGCCCCATCCCTTGCAAGCTATCTGTTGACAACCCCGTATGCCTAGAGTTGAGTATGCCTGAATCTCCTTCTGTCATGGGGAGTGTAGTCCAGAACTTTGCATGGGAATTTGGGGTACTGGGAATGTGCTGAAGTAGAGTCTGAAGGATTCAAGGAGCGTGGCCCTGGGCTGTGCAGACTTCTTGCCTCCTGAGGAGGTACTGGGCCAGAGGGCCAAAGCAAGCTCTCTAAAGTGTGTGGCCCAAGGGCAATGGCCCGTCTCGCCTGAGTCTCAGGGTTGTGCTGGAAGGGACATCTGACATGAGTGACAAATGAACATGGCTTATTTACTGTTAGTTATGGGGTATGAGAAAGTGCGAGTGAAAAAAAATGAAAGATCACTGGGTTTCAGGAGAATGATGGAGCCACTGAGAAAGTAAGACAGTATTTGGGAGTCGGTAAAATGGGACCTGAATGTAGAATAGCCATGTTTTGCTCACCATTATATCCTCCAGCACCTAATTACCTCCTAGCACATTGCCAGGCATCTAGTATTGACTCAATAAATTTTGAAGGACAGGATAGATACTTTGAATAGCTGTGCCAGAGATGAAAATAAAGTCATTGTAGAATATAGAAAGAAGGAAAATAAGGTCTTGTGGGTGAGGCCAATGTAGCACTTTGGATGTGAGGTAGATAGCATTGATTAGCATAGTCATCTGTAAACTATTAGTGTGGGGGGACTGTATTATATATTTAATTTTTGTATGTGTGATACCAAACAGCTGGTCTTTCTTGAATACTTGAATACTATACAAGAAGGAACTTTTTTTTTTTTTTGAGATGGAGTCTCTCTCTGTCGCCCATTCTGGAGTGCAGTGGCGTGATCTGGGCTCACTGCAAGCTCTGCGTCCTGAGTTCACGCCATTGTCCTGCCTCAGCCTCCCGAGTAGCTGGGACCACAGGCTCCCGCCACCACACCCGGCTAATTTTTTTTTATTTTTAGTAGAGATGGGGTTTCACCGTGTTAGCCAGGATGGTCTTGATCTCCTGACCTTGTGATCCACCCGCCTCGGCCTCCCAAAGTGCTGGGATTACAGGCGTGAGCCACCGTGCCCGGCCAAGAAGGAACGTTTAAGAAATGAATTGGATTTTAAAGTTATGATGAATGACAAAAATTAGTATCATCAGTAAACTGGTGTAACTGAGGAAGTTGTAATCATAAAAAACAGGGAGATCCTGAACAATTGTGGTTTTTGCTCACAATGAGATAGGAAACAGTGAAAGATATGTTCAAAGAATAGGTTTTATTTGTAATCAATTTGGAAAGAAGTAAAGGACACAGATGACTGTAGACTGGCCTGACTTTTTCACTTGATATTTACAAGGTATACATAGGGAAAGGTAGTAGGAGAAAAGGATTATAATTAATGGAGTAAGTTGAATTTTATAAACATTTAACTGCAGATATGTTAGACTCATGTTGCTCAAAATTGTTAAGAAGTATTTTGTAGTTGCTTAGTTAATCATATATGTGTACTACAAATAAGGCCTCATGTCAGAAAATATTTTTATAATGAGAATAAAGTAAGAAAATATAATAATATGGTTAAAATTGCCAAGTTCTTTTTGAGAATCCAAGTGTGTTGATTATTGTAGATTATTGCATTTTTGATGTATCTGGTTTGTTATCACCTAAATACACAGCAAACACCTGTGATTGTTTTAGTGATCCTTGTCTTGTCTTCTTCAAGTAATCCCAAATATGTGTATTTAGACTGTTGCCTATTCATATATACTCAGCTGTGCCTGTTTGCTTTGTTACTTTTCTGTGTCTAATGGAGCAATATAAAAATTGATGGCAACTGTCACTTAATTCGCCTTTACCTTTAAAGAAAAAAGGTAAAGCCAAATCGTGCCAGGTAGCTACGATGCTCTTTATAGTTAACTAAATTATCAGATATACTTTGTAATAAGTTGATCTCTGATATCATGGGCCAAATTTAGGGAACATATATAAATACATACATGTAAGTATGTATATCATTGCTACTCCACATTTACTTTATTAGCCAATAAAGATCATTAGTTTAAAAATAACTTGTGTATTCTCCTTCCCTGAACAAAAGATCTTTCTTTTAAAAATTTCCGTAACACTAAATTATTTTTAAGGAATGAGCAAATGCATGTCAGCTGCTAAATCATTCTCACTTTTGCTTTTCTGCAAGAAATTAGCAGGGTGATTTTCAGAATCGTTTGCTGTCTCATCTTCACAGTGTAAAAGCATGTATTCTTTTAAAGAATCCTTTTTCTCAGATTTCCCCTAATTTATTTTTCTTACTATCACAATACCATGATTATTCTTTGAATTATAATTCTTTGAAAACTAAAAATTCTCTCATGTAAAATCAAAAACACTATCTTTTTTGACTAAATCACAAACATTTAAAAATATCAGTGCATTCATGTGAAGAAATACTTTTAATTTATGTAATTAATATAATACTTAGCTATAAACTTAATAATTTTAAATAGTCACATGCCTTCTACATATCAAAAAATTCATTTTTAATGTGAACTAATTGTTCTTGCTTTTAATATTTTAGGCCTCTTGGTCATTCTCGCATTTTATGGTAGAGAATACATTGAGTTTGGCTCATGGAAAGAATATGAGGTAATTTGAACACATGTTCTTTATAAATAATGAACTGTTTATATACAATACAGAGTATTTTGAGATGTCATATATGGAATCTCATATCTGGATTTTTTCAATAGTAATTTTCTTTTTTCATATTTTGATGTTTTTCCTTTCTTGATGGTTGGCAATAGTTAATATAGTGAAGAACTTTATTTTCTGTCACTACTATATATGTTTTCAAGAAAACAGTATTATTCTTTACATAGTTATGTGTTTTCAGTTCATATTTTTAAATGCTTCCGTTAACCTAGCTTTCTGTGGTGCTGTAAAAACCACAAGATAATTCCTTTCTACCTACCCAGTTCCCATACCAACCAAACCTGCCTTAGGTAGGATTAAGGTCATGCTGCATTTAAAAGTCATAACTGCCGCACAGAGTTTATAGAGGAACTATAAAGAAAGAGCACTGGAACTCCAATAATGTAAGATTTTCAGGCAGTACTCAGAGTGGTTTGAGAGCACAAATGTGAGACTCATCGGTTAGTCTTTTCCTGTCCTTTGATAACCATATGTGACCCTGCATAATGTGTGGGTTTGTCATTCTAAAATGGGAGTCAAATAAGTGTATATGCCACATATATTTTCACAGTAGTTTCATAGACTAAGCATTAAGCCTATATCAAAGTAAGTTTCACTTAAAGGTAGAAAAATAATAGTTGACTTTCTGAAGTTCAGCCAATGATACAATAGCATGCTTATCAGTAGATATTAAGTATTTGTAGAGTAATTGGTTAACATACTGCTGATGTCATAATTCCCCTACTCAATAATAGTTTTGTTATGTAGGAAGATACAGCAGCTTGTTTGTGTGAACTTCTGCTTCTACTACAAACAGTACTTTAAAGAGAGGCCTTCCACTGGCATTCAGAAAGGTGAAAAGAGCAGGAGTCAGGGTGGGGTGGATAGGTGGGAAGGGTGTCAGAGGGATAGGCATAGTGTCTCTGAGTACTTGTAAGCTGTTCATCATCATTGGTCTTTGATGTTATGTTTGCACCCAAATTACTTCCTTAACTTTCCAAAGAGTTGAAATGCAATTGCCAGCCCATTGAGGATGATCAAACATTGCTATTTTAATGTTTCTTAATTTTTATAAATGAAGCCTATATGATTAAAATTGGTATTACTTAAAAATAATCATGTGGTTTACTTTTTTGTAAGCATATATAATCTAGTAATTTTTTAAAAAGTGTTAATAATTTAAATACTACACTTTAATTTCTAAGTTCTAAAAATTGTGTTCATATTGTTTCAATCAAAGATGTGATGATGAAATAGAATCCATCAGTCGTCACAGAGAACAAGGTGTTCCTTATTTCAATTTGATGTATGGTCTCTGTTTTAGTAGCCATTACCATGGAGGATACTCTTTAGTTTCTTTGGGAAGATAAACACTCAATCTACTAGTTAAGAGACAAAACTCAAGAGGAATAAGCTGAAGTTGTATCCTTCATTTCAAACTTGTGGTTCTGCATAAGTCCTCTGTAAAATACATCAAAAATTACCCTACGCATTTTCTAAAATTTTATGGATATAAGGTTGAAAGAGAAATTGAGTAGTTTTGTGTCTAAGGCCTTCACAACATTACTTATAGTTAGTAATTGCATTTATGTATAGAAGTTACAATTTAAGAGTTATAATAATCCTTATCATAGGTAGTATATTTAAAGGGACTTAGTACCAACTCTTTTAAGTATTTTTCCTAGGAAATAATTACAGTTTTATTATATTTCTCAAACCATTTGAGTTGTCTGTGTCAAACAAACCTGTCGGACATTCTTTTTCCCTTATCAGTTTTCATGATTGAAGATATCTGACTATGGACATTGATATTATACCTAATAATTGTGAATGTTTTTATGGATTTGAAGAAAAGCATTTCCATAGTATATTTTATTAAAAGTGCTTACAAACTTATTTATCAAAAGTAGTTTAGAGGAAATTAATCAATACATGTGTTGGTGAAGTAATAGGAAATGAGCTTATCTTAAATTATCTGAGAGAAGCAATAGAGAACAATTCTATATGTGTTTCTCCTTCCCTCTTTTTCTCTTTTAATTTGATTTTTGGACTTCTTTTCATTTTGATGACATTAAACTCCTTTGTGGTATGTGAAGTAAGGAAGTATCTTGGGAACTGGAGTGGTAGGAAAAGAAGTACGTTTATTTTAAAATATTGCCTAGCATATAGAACAGTAATTATAATATGCCTCATATTTTCACGGGTCATGCTACACAAAGGTCATGCTTTACAAAGCTGTTTTGTGTGTAGCATCTTATTTAGCTTTTCCCAACAGTAAGTTATATGGGGAAGGAATTGTTTCCAAATTAAGGGTGAGGAAACCAAGACAGAAAGGTCAAGAAACACTTTTCCAGATCTTTTGACTCTTACTCTAGTATTTGTATCCACTCTATTAATAATTTTTAAATTATATTTTTAATAATTTGAAAAATTTCTACTGAAATTTTTCAACTTTGGAGGGATGATTGAAAGCAGAGCAGGTCCATTTTTGTCTCTTTTTAAATTAGGACTCTAGTACTTTATTGGGAGACTGTTTCAAAGCTGCTGTTCTATATTGCTTTCCTAGGTGGAAGGACTTTAAATTAGAGTAGTAAACTATACCTCTCTTTTTGTTATTGCAGTTGCTAGAAGTGATGATTAAAGTTATATGCTGCTTTTTCTAATGGCATTGTGGATCTAGAAATAAGAATTAGACTCTTGGGAGTGTCCTTTACTTTTATTGCTTTCCAACTAATATTTACTGACGTAATACTGCACACAGGATATACAAGTTACTAACCTTTTACCAGGGCCAATAACAATTGGTCTTTAAAGAGTAATATAGTTTTAAAAATATAAATGTGGAAAATTGTAAACATTAAAATAGAAACTGTCCATATTAAACATAGCATGTCTTGGGCATAAAGTGACATTAGTAAGTATCATCATTCTTTATACAATTAAAATATTGCTTGAATTTCATAACCCCAAGCCTGGTATTAAGTACATTGGTTGTTGAAAATAATTTTCATAAGCTATTGTCTGTTTATAGAACTTTGAAAATTCTAGGCCGGACGTGGTGGCTTGCGCCTGTAATCTCAGCACTTTGGGATGTCAAGGTAGAAGGATCCCTTGAGCCCAGGAATTGGAGACCAGCCTGGGCAACACAGGGAAGCCTGTCTCTATTTAAAAAAAGAAAGAAAATTCTAAGTTATGATAGCATTTGTGAGTAATGGTAATAGTTTCTAGAAATGGCTCCTTCTTCATACTGTAGAATTCTAGAGTCTTTGATAATAATGAGTTCCAAAATAATGGTTTCACTTTACTCAAATGTGCATTTAGATCTTATTGTAACAGTCTATGAAATTACTTATGTGCACACAGGAAATAAACCATATCGGGGCCCATCAAAAACGTGATAACATTTAATAAGGGTTAGAAGTTAATCACACAAATTCAAAAAAATTGTTTAGACACAAATCATAGCAGTCTACAAATTTAATATGTATTAACGATTTTGTGCTTTTAGATATGAACATGACTCTGGAGTTTAATATTCAAAAGCTGGTGATTATTATTTTTCTTTAACTTGGTCATTGAGCTTTTAGTTTAGAGTACTACACTAAACACTCTGAACTGATAAAGTTTGATTACTTTGTCCATAGTTTATTCTGCACATGAAACAGTTGGAGAGACTGAAAAGGGCAGAAAAAATGAATATTGACAGCAGTGAGAAAAGATTGGAGCCGTGGAAACTATTTCATATAGGAAAGGAGGGGAAATAACTTAAAATTAGTTTTCAAATTTATTTGTATTTCTCTTTACTCTTTGTTACAAACTGCCAGCTAAAATCGGTAAAGCAGCATAATATGTTAGAGAGCCGTAAATTGTTGCCTTGAAAGCTTTTAGAAAGGGTGATTTTTATTTGTCATAAAGAAGACAGACCCTAAAAGTTCATTGGGCTCTGGAGTAGGGTATAGAGGGATATTTGGTAGGTTATACCCCACAAAAATTTTTTAAGACCAGAATGGTTAGTAATTCATCTAAATAATATCTGTATTATTATTATTTTTATTATTTTTTTAGGCGGAGTTTCGCTTTTGTTGCCCAGGCTGGAGTGCAATGGGACAATCTTGGCTTACTGCAACCTCCGCCTCCCGGGTTCAAGCGAGTCTTCTGCCTCAGCCTGCCGAGTAGCTGGGATTACAGGCATGCGCCACCATGCTTGGCTGTTTTTGTATTTTTAGTGGAGACAAGGTTTCTCCATGTTGGTCAGGCTGGTCTCGATCTCCCGACTTCAGGTGATCCGCCTGCCTCGGCCTCTGAAAGTGTTGGGATTACAGGCGTGAGCCGCTGTGCCCAGCCAGCATCTATTATTGTTAAAGTCTTTACCAGGTTTAAAGTTCTTTGATTATAGTTCGGATGCTAATTGCTTGGAAATGTATTGCTATATATTTATGAATATGCTCTTATAACTAAAGATGATGCATGTAATTTTTGGAGATTTTAAATTGTTTTTCAGAAATAAACTAAGATAAAAATTACAAGTTCATTTCAAATTTGGGATTATAGAAAGAATTAAAATTCTTTTATTCTGGGAGAGATTACAAATTCCGTATTATGTACACTTTAAAAATAATTGATAACAAATACAGAGGGAAGCAAAAAAGTTATCAACAATGTGAGAATGAAGCAGCATCGTTTGGCAAAGTGGTCTAGTGTAAGCAGCTCATGGTTTTTTGAGTCAGTCAAGCCTGAGTTTTACTATTGGGTCACTCACTTACTAATTCAATATTTTTATGTAATGTGAGGACATTAATTGTTACCCTGAAGACTTGTGAAAATTACGTAAAGGACTTATGCAATAAGTGCATAATCCAGTGCCTGGCACAGAACAGTGCTTCAGAAGTAATAGTTTCATTCATTTCTTATGTAAATGTGAAAGTTTATTCAGTAGATTGGATTAGGAAAAACTG